AGTTTAAACTACAGGTAATCTGTGTTCATTTTAGTGTAGAGAAGCAGGAAGACAGCTATGTGGTTACTCCATATTTAGAAGGTTTAAACTAAGGAATATGCAAAGATGGATCTGATCATCTGTGTATATTAACCCAATGCTGATGGGTGATTTCCTGATATGCAAGTGCCCTCTCCTGAGTTGTGGCCTGGGCCCTGCTGCCAGGGGCTCATGTTGCCACCCTATTAAGCGTGGCGTGACCATGCATGCCCCCGAAATGGGATTGACGCACCATGGCATTTATGTACATGCTACTGGGAGTATAGCTTAGGCATGCCATGGCATATACGTACATGCCACCCAGTTGCTAAGGGTGTAATGGATTCTGGTTTTTACTTTGTGATAAGCAGCTGGATCTTGATTTATTCTCTGGTATACAAGTAGCCTATAAAGCTTTGACCACTCAAGTTTTCTGAGTATCAGGGGAAGCATTTTTGTTAAGTCTTTCTTTTTTTTCTTTTTCTTTTTTCTGGGAAACCAACATTAGTACTTGAAGTGTTCCAAAAGAAGCATGTTTGAAAAGTTACCTGAACCATCTTCATCATTGCCTTTTTTCTTGAAACAAGCATTCACATGTGATATGGACCAAAATTATGCTCAATGTTATTAATTATCAGCAAAATTAATACCATGCTAGAAGATAACATATCTAGGGAAACAGATAGCTTTATACATACATACACTCAAACTTTTAAACGCAAAAGACTGAAAACATTATCTCCCAGGAGTATTGTGAGGTAACTTTTCATGTTTACCAGTGCTGCTGAATAATTGCAGATTGTCTTGAAAGTTTTTAGCCTCTGACAGAATTGGAAAAAATACAAGGAGTGGCTGGAAGACCAAATACTGACTGAAAAGGTGTTTGTATAACCTGTCAGCACTCAGGATTTTCCTTTTATTATTATTTTTTACAAGTAACTGTAGGGGATAATCATGAAATGTTAAAGAGACTACAAAAAAAATGTCAGATCTTGATAATAGGGGCATACATGTGATAATCCTCAAGTATTTTAGTTAAACTGAAAGGTGTAATAGAACAAGATTGATACTTCCTATGGTGGGTCATGCAGAAGTTCCTGTTTAAAAGATGTGACTGTTTCAACCTTGCTTACTATATAATTTTCAAATGTGCACAAATGTGCCTTTGGTATGTACAACTCCAAAATCAGTCTTGAAAAAAATCTGTATTATGGTAGTGCTGCTTGCATTTGTTGAAACAGTATTGTATATTGTTTGAATAGTAACTTTGTTGCAGTACTGTTATATGATGTAGGTTATCATCATTGTTATTGTGTACAATCATAATAGAGGCTGTGATAATGACAAGAAGTAATTTTTGGTATAAAAAGGAGCTTTTGCCCAAATATTGATATCGTAGAAGGGTTAACCTCTTGCCAATGTACACACTTGCTATGACCTGACTGGACTACTTTCCAAGTGGCATGTGTACACATTAAGCCAGCTTTAAGTTGTGTGCTAAACAGTTGTTCACTTGCTTTACTGTAGTGGTTTAGGATTTAGAGACCCCCAAAATGTAGGCTTGCAGTAGCCTTGTTCACAGGAAAATTGCATTATCTGCAGCCAAAATTGTAGAGTAACTTTTTCCTGTGCTTCTAATTTTTCCCTTGAATGGCTGACTGTGCACTATGCCAGGAGTGTGGTGTAATGAGGCATACAAAGTACCCATTAAGATTGGTTTAAAGGTTGCATAATTCATTTCTTGAAGAGCCTGTTATATTGCTGTTATTTGATTTAGTACCAGAATATGAAAACTAGTCTGTAGATCAATATAGTACCAGAGAAGAAGCTCTGAACTCAAGTTTGTGTTTTATATAGAGAGAGATTCTAAGCCTGACTTTTTAGACCTCAGAAAACTAGTTTTAAAATCACTGCACAAGTCATTTAGATATGTATCTACAGTAGCTTTGCTATGTAAAGATTTAAATTGACGTTTGACATAGTCTTCAGGTATGCTGACATGGAGCATTTTCTGTAAGAATTTGTCATGCATGAAAATTCTTGTGTATGTACCCCCATCTTATAGATAACTACAAAAAAAAATGTCAGATCTTGATAATAGGGGCATACATGTGATAATCTTCAAATATTTTAGTTGTTCTATTACACTGAAAGGTGTAATAGAACAAGATTGATACTTCCTATGTTGGGTCATGCAGAAGTTCCTGTTTAAAAGATGTGACTTTTTCAACCTTGCTTACTACTATATAATTCTGTATTATGGTAGTGCTGCTTGCATTTGTTGAAACAGTATTGTATATTGTTTGAATAGTAACTTTGTTGCAGTACTGTTATATGATGTAGGTTATAATCATTGTTATTGTGTACAATCGTAATAGAGGCTGTGGTATTGACAAGAAGTAATTTTTGGTGTAAAAAGGAGCTTTTGCCCAAATATTGATATCGTAGAAGGGTTAACCTCTTGCCAATGTACACACTTGCTATGACCTGACTGGACTACTATCCAAGTGGCATGTGTACACATTAAGCCATTAAGTTGTGTGCTAAACAGTTGTTCACTTGCTTTACTGTAGTGGTTTAGGATTTAGAGACCCCCAAAATGTAGGCTTGCAGTAGCCTTGTTCACAGGAAAATTGCATTATCTGCAGCCAAAATTGTAGAGAGTAACTTTTTCCTGTGCTTCTAATTTTTCCCTTGAATGGCTGACTGTGTACTATGCCAGGAGTGTGGTGTAATGAGGCATACAAAGTACCCATTAAGATTGGTTTAAAGGTTGCATAATTCATTTCTTGAAGAGCCTGTTATATTGCTGTTATTTGATTTAGTACCAGAATATGAAAACTAGTCTGTAGATCAATATAGTACCAGAGAAGAAGCTCTGAACTCAAGTTTGTGTTTTATATAGAGAGAGATTCTAAGCCTGACTTTTTAGACCTCAGAAAACTAGTTTTAAAATCACTGCACAAGTCATTTAGATATGTATCTACAGTAGCTTTGCTATGTAAAGATTTAAATTGACGTTTGACATAGTCTTCAGGTATGCTGACATGGAGCATTTTCTGTAAGAATTTTTCATGTATGAAAATTCTTGTGTATGTACCCCCATCTTATAGATAACTACAAAAAAAACATTTGTTATTGCACAATTCTCAGGTTAGAAGAGGAAAATATATAGTACATAAAAATTTAGAATATTATATTTTGTTTTAGGAATTGTATGAATTATTAGAGTTGTCTATTTGTAAGGTAAGATACGATATCTTAAATATTAACCCATTCATGCCGGGTGTCACGTATACGTGACATACCCACTGTGAGTTTACTTGTTTAATTGTTTTTACACATAGATGGCTACACTTGTTCTTGTACTGCCTGTCTCGCCCATTAACCCTTTTCTCTAATTTATGAAAATATTTTACGTTATCTGATTTTGCTGTTACTAATGTTTATAACATTATAGTAATTATAATGTTTAACTGTCGATATTCATAGCACTAGTAAAAATACATTTTCCCGCAATGAAATTAGGTAAGGCAGAGCCATCTATATGTAGACACATTTCACAAAAAGTAAAAAAAAAATGAGCACAGCATTTTCCCCATTTTTTGTCCATTTTTCCCCTTCGCGAATGGGTTAAATTATGAAACTAGAATTCATTTTTAGTTGATAATCTGAAGGAGCAAATCAGTAATAGGACATGATTAATACCTTATTAGAATTTAATGCAAGATTTTGTAAAATATATTATTTAAAGTTAGTGTCTTTCCAGTCCAAACTTAGGTCAGTGGAAATTAGATTCCCTTTGAATATTTCAGGCCTACCTGGAATCCTTCTTTATATTCAAAAAGGTTTTACATTTGCATAGAGAATTTTTTCACCGTCTAGCTTATAATACTGTAGTTATGATCTTTTGGCCAAGATGATGTATAGGCATCTTGATATATGAGTTATAGATTCAAGTGTATTACTAAATAGTATACACACTAATACTGTGTTTTAGCATTTTTGAATTTTTTAATGGTGTGCTGATCATTAATTCTAGAGGCCAAGTGACTCGCATTTTGCGCAGGTTTCCAGCATTGTCGTACTTCAAATCCATGCTCTGTCACTATTATCCGATGATTTATCCTTCAGTTGTCTCATTGTCCTTTTTTGTTTTATTAAAGTGTTTTTGATATCTTGTACAATCTGATACTTAGTTGATGTCACAAGATAAAAAAAAAAAAAATCTACAAGAAAGTAGTTTATACGTCAGGTATACCAAACAACACAGGGAAGAACCAAACTTTGTTCTGTTTCTACAAGAACAATGAACCTATCCATCAAATCTATGAAACTGTCCCTTGCTTCTACACTTCTACACTTAATCTTCTTGTTAATGTTATAGGCCCCAAAAGGAGGTTATCATTGTTATTTACTGTGAATGCACTTGCTAAGGAAACACTGGACTGTCATCTGTGGAAGGTGATCAGAGAATGTTATATAATTGATTGTATTAGTAATGACACAAATGCAAAGAAAAGTATCAAAAGGCAAGAATCAGCTTTCAAGGGTGACAAGATTTCAAAGGATTTTTTTTTTTTCCATATTTATTAGAATAAACCAACATGCAGTTAATTTTGATGAATTGACCCCTAAAATGTTGATGTCCATTGGGTTGAAGCATTATTATTATTATTTATTTATTTATTTATTTTTTTATGATTTTCTTCTCTTTATGATTAAGAAAGTTTTGTAGATATATGGTAGTAGCCTAATAATACTTTCCTTTACAGATACTGCAACGATTGGCCACTTATTATATCCTTATATCCAATTAGTATATTTTGCTTCTGATAGTCTGAAATGTGTGATGATCTCTGTGTAGCTTGAACTTGCAATTGATAATTTCTCAAAGTATAATTATTTGCATTTATTCCAAACTGTGAATTGATTTTGGCTAGATTCCCTATCGATGAATGATATAAATGATATCCTTGCAGGAATTCGGGACGGAGAAGCTACGGAGGGCATGGGCCACCACGGAATCCAACCCCCATGATATGGAGGCATGGAGCTTGATCATACGTGATGCCCAGAACCGTGCCATAGACAGTGCCAGACCCATCTTTGAACGCTTGGTGACGACTTTCCCCACCACGGGCAAGTTCTGGAAGATGTACATAGAGCAAGAGGTATGGCTGATTTTTTTCCCTTTTCTTTTCTTTTACCTTGAGGTTTTGTAGTTTGTGATATTGTTGGTCATATATCATTAGGATTTTCTCTCTCTCTCTCTCTCTCTCTCTCTCTCTCTCTCCTCTCTCTCTCTCTCTCTCTCTCTCTCTCTCTCTCTCTCTGTCTGTCTGTCTGTCTGTCACACATTCTTCTCCCTCTCTCTTCCTCTCACATCATTCTACTCCCTCTTTCTATTCCTCTCACATCATCTCTTCTCCCTTTTTCTCTTCCTCTCACATCATCTCTTCTCCCTCTTTCTCTTCCTCTCACATCACTGCAACGATGAGCCACTCAATTATCCTTATATCCAATTAGTATATTTTGCTTCTGATAATCTGAAATGTGTGATGATCTCTGTGTAGCTTGAACTTGCAATTGATAATTTCTCAAAGTTATAATTATTTGCATTTATTCCAACTGTGAATTGATTTTGGCTAGATTCCCTATCGATGAATGATATAAATGCATATCCTTGCAGGAATTCGGGACGGAGAAGCTACGGAGGGCATGGGCCACCACGGAATCCAACCCCCATGATATGGAGGCATGGAGCTTGATCATACGTGGATGCCCAGAACCGTGCCATAGACAGTGCCAGACCCATCTTTGAACGCTTGTGACGACTTTGCCCCACCACGGGCCAAGTTCTGGAAGATGTCATAGAGCAAGAGGTATGGCTGATTTTTTTTTCTTTTCTTTTCTTTTACCTTGAGGTTTTGTAGTTTGTGATATTGTTGTCATATATCATTAGGATTTTTCTCTCTCTCTACCTCTCTCCTCTCTCTCCTCCTCTCTCTCATCTCTCTCCTCTCTCTCTCTCTCTCTCTCTCTCTCTCTCTCTCTCTCTCTCTCTCTCTCTCTCTCTGTCACATCATCACTTCTCCCTCTATCTGTTCCTCGCATGGCACCTCATCTTCCTCTTTCTCTTCGTCTCATGTCTTCTTACGCTTCATCTTCCTCTAATACCCGCCCCCTCTTTCTCATTTTTTTTTTATATCTCCTCAGGATGAGTGCATTAAGATAAGTAATTCATGTCTCTTTCTCCTTTTCAGATGAGGTCTTATAATTTTGAAAAAGTGGAAAAGGTATGTTTAACACACTGTTTCAAATGCTATCTCTTCACAATAAAAGCTTGTATATTGACTTGTGTAGTTTATTTTTCAAGCAGTTTTGAGAGCTCGTTATGTTTCTGGTCAACTCCCAAGCATTTCAGATGGTGCAAGTGGTATCAATTGCTGTATTCTAAAGGGCTTTTTTGAGAGTGCATTGTGTGTGACTATCGGTGACTGAATGATTCCAAGTCCTTGTCGGTTTGATCTGAGTGATGCCTTAATACTGTTTATACAGGAAAGGAGGCACTGACCGTCCGTTTGGAGATTAAATACATATGGACTCCTCGGATACAGTAATATCCACTGTTAGCGACATGGTGGTTAGCTGGTTTTTTCCCTTGGACCTGTTTGTGCGATAGATACTGGAGTGGTCATGGGCAGCTTACTGCTTTAAGCTGGAGTACAGGCTTTGAGGGACTATTGATCCAGGACAATTTTATGGTTGTCTTTTCTTCTGGAGATGCTAGAACAGTGGCACCTTCTGATTTCACTGTGAATCCAGATTGAGGTCCTGTTGCTTTCTGTGTCCTCCTAATCAAGGGTTAATGCACTTATTCATATAGATCAGTGGTATTGGACTGATGCTTACAGGCCACATATTTTGCAATGTACTAGCATCCACTTGATCAATAGAAGTCGTATAAATTTAAAAGTTTGTCATATTTATGGATAGAATGGAAAATTATTTCAGTTTATTATTATTATTTGATAATGCTATGTATGCATCCACTTAATAATCCCTATGATCTGGATGAGGTGACCATCATGTCATGAAAAAATTTGGCCCTAGGAGCAGGTGTCATGAACATGTCTTGGGAAAACTTGGCTCTGGACAAACTTGGTGTGATGGCCAAGGTGATGGGAATGACTTGTCACAAATGCATAAAGCTTTTAGAGTGTGGTTAGACTCATTTGACATTATTTCTATTGATAAATGAGTATGGAGTGTACTGCCTGTGAGCCATGACTGGAAGAGCACTGCTCCAGGGAGTACACTATTTCCATGCTCAAGATCCTATTCCTGGCTGCCATGACCGGTGGCACAGGTTATGTTCGAAGAAATTCAATATTGCAAAAAAATATTCAAAAATGACAAATAATAATGTTACTTATTATTGTTGTTATTGCACTGAGTTATAGACTACCTAGAGAGATG